GCTGATGTTTATTTTTATGGTTATTTCGATCAAGGATTCAACTTCCGGATATTATCGGAAGATATTCACTGCTTACAAAATATTTTAATGCCACGATTTATACTACTTGCAAAATATTATTCATCCTAATTTTGCCGTATCCGTTGTGGTGCTACAATACTTATTATTTATTAAGTAAATGAAGGTTACAGCCTATATATACGTCCCACTGCTTGGCATGGATGCCTGTGCCCTCATAATTCTAAGAGGCTTTTCTTTCATGATAAAGCGTTGCGTGTACTAAGATATAATATCAGAGGTACACAACCTAATATTATTCAATCTAGAAAATCCACAATCTTGTATTTTGTACAAATCTTTGATCCAAGGCTGAAATGTATGTTGTTCTAAATTTAGAACAAAAATATATTTTTACTTAATAATACTTATTGAACGTCACTTTCAGTTTAATTCACCAATGTTTCAAAATACAACATGATTAAAATATAGAAATCGGAAAATTCTGGACGGAGAACCAGCAAAAAACCTACAGGAAAAAAACAATTTACAAATATATATATTTGCTGTACAATTAATTGTATAAATCATGTTAGAAATAGCTTGGTAGCGATCACCTTATTCTCATGGGTTATTTTGTATACCTTACTAATAATATAATGAAAGCCTCTATATAAACTTTGTTAAATTTATTGAACTTCGGATGTTCAGAATGCAATATTGTCTGATAGTTTTTAGAATAATATTAACGATCTGCTCCGGCTTCGCATTCTACTGGATCCAGATTCTACTGGGTCCAACTATGCCTATAACCTTCACGGAAGTGCAAACAATATGTTGACAAAGTTTTAGCGCAATCTGATGAGCGCATAAAATACAAACAGACAAATATAATTTTTATATATTAGATTTATTACACATCATACAAACATATGAACGAAATTAATTATATTATATAGATATCTTTAAATAGAAAAAGATAAGAATAAGGGTGGAAGTCATATCTCTTTCGGATTTGTTGAAGATTTAATTATTTTATTTGCCGTGTCAGATAGCTCAATTAAAATTTACATTCCTTACCGGATTTACGCTACAGAATCGTTTCCACGTAATTATTTATCTAAATATATCTGATTAATATCTTTTAGTAATTATTTGTGAAGATCAATCAACATGAAAAATTGCATAGTTAAAATAATTTCGTTGTAATAAATTGGATCACGAACTATAAAATAAAATATTATAGTCAGTTATGATAAGTTATAACTACTTAACATAAATTCGCCAAGGACGTATTTCTTCGCAGCAATTTTCTCTGTACGAGTAGGTACCTATAGCCTGAACAATAAGTAGCAATTGCTTAAAGTCTACATGAGTTATGAATTAAGATATGTGATTTGATGGACTTAAAAGTTACCTGCAATTATTACTCAATCTCTAGGATCAGTTAATATTTTTATTTTATTTTATAAACACGGTTTATAAACTAAACGATAATCAAAATAACGGTAATGAATTGTTACGATTAGAGATTAGATTTAGCTACCATTTATATTTTAACTACTAAGACACAGATCTTATGGGTATGTATCCCAGTCCAAGAAAAAAACTTGAGCTGTAGTTTTCAATTTTATGTTTGTAGCCATCATATGCTAAAAACATTTTTATAAACTCTTTGTAAGTGGTAGAGCTACAATGGACCTGTATTAACGCTATATAACGAATGGAACTGCTCGACTGAGGTAGGATCCCGATACTCGTATCACAGAATACCAACGTATAATAGCAGTTTAATGTCGACGTGTTTCGTATTGTGAGCGTAGAGAACCGGATATCTTTCTACTAGCAGAACAATGCATTCCACCTTAGTCCTCAGGGGTAACGAAGCATCTCCTTTTTTTAATTCTCATGCTGGGACATGGAGAGAACTATGAAGAGTTCTATATTCAGCAGTAGACTTTTAATAAGCTAAAATGATGATGCAGATAATGAGAGTGATGATAATGAGGTAGTAAACAGGCAAATATTTCTATACTCTGTAATATTTATCGTGATCGAGTATCTCGAGAGATATCATTATAACAATCGAATAAAAATCGTAAAAAAAATAGCATGAATTGAATACATTTATTTTGACTGCATCCTTTACGCTCTAAAAAGGTCAGTAGAAGCCTAATGGTTCATACCTTAGACCTTTTTTAACTGTCGACTTAATATTAAATTGACAACTGCATAAAAGCTTAGATAGTGATTGATATTTCTAAGTATGTATATCCTTTGATCTCCCGGTGATCACCTTTGATTCAGAAGAAAAAAAAGCTTAAAGTGCATTATTTTAATAATATATTTATAGGTATAATAATTTCATAATATGTGTACTTATTCTAAACAAGGGCACTGCATTGTAACAGAAAAAATCTAGATTTACTGATGTGACAAACGAACTAACAATCCATATAATGGTAAGTAGACGCTAGTCCACAGACACCTGCAGCAAGCTTCAAATAAAGAAGTCTAAAGATGCGTTATCATCTCTGAGGACTAAGATGGAATGTGGGGCTGGATGCAAATATACTGGCAATCCGTACATGCACTGCTATTTAGCGGAACAAATAGGTAAGAGTGTTGTTGCACCTACCCAGTCTACTTCTATTTCTAGGCCGAAAAAAATTCTATTACCTAGTAATCTAGATACGTATCTTAAAGTTTTTTTTCACCTTCAATTAAAATATATTCAACAGTGGTAGGGCCGGCTCTAGCCGGGGTGATACCACGACCTCACAGAATACCAGCGTGAAGTAGAGAGTTACATCTAACTTTCGCTTGGTGAGTGCAGGCGGCCGGAGGCCCAAACCCCCTCCCCCCCTTAACATGGTAGCGGAATCAAATGAAGAACTAACCCTGGTGACGGAGATTCCCTCGCTGAGCATCCACGACCAAGTTATGTTACTTTTCCTGAGCGTGGGTGCTCAGGCTGCCCCGCGTATATTCTGGGGGGGGGGGGGGGGGACAATTCCGCTCGCGACAAAAGCTGCTCGGGGCAAACTGAGCAACAACACCAAGGCGCCCCTGCCACGCTATCCGTGAATTTTTGCAACATCAGAGGACTCCATTCCAACCTTAACGCTGTCCACTACCATCTGGAGACGGCGAAGCTGGCCTTGCTTTTTTAACCGAGAGTCAGATGTCCTCTCCAGCAAACACTTCATATCTCTCCTACCCGGGGTACAAATTAGAACATTCATTTGTGCACCGGGTTGGAGTTTGCGTATACGTCAGAGAGGACATCTGTTTCCGATGCCTTAGCAGTCTTGATGGTACGGTACCTGTCCATCCTATGGCTGTGCGTAGACAGCGATCCCCATCCCCGCGTCTACGGGTGCCTCTATAGGTCCCATAGCGGTAATACCGAAACAGACCGACTCCTTGAACACGTTCAAATGGCCACAGATTTCATGCTGCAATAGATCCCATCCGCAGAGATCGTGATCCTTGGCGATTTTAACGCCCACCACGCCGAATGGCTCGGTTCACGTTTAACCGATCATGCGTGGAGATCTGTTTATGACTTTGCTTTGGCATATGGTCTGACACAACTGGTTACTGCGCCTACGCGGATTCCAGATGTACAAGATCATACACCTTCCCTGTTGGACCTTCTGCTGACCTCTCATCCGGACGGTTATCAGGTTTCGTCGACGCCCCTTTAGGCTCGTCGGACCATTGTCTGGTACGGAGTGTGGTGCCAGTTACATTAAGGTCGCGGTTGCATTCTGCAGGTTGCCGCTGAGTCTGGCACTATAGATCGGCCGATTGGGATGGGATGCGGTTGTTTTTTGCATCCTACCCTTGTAGGCGGGTTTGCTTCTCGCTGGACGATCCTAGCGTTGTTGCTGATTCTGTCGCTGTGTGGTACTTCAGGGTATGGAACTTTTTATTCCATCGTCTGTGGTGCCCATCGGAGGCAGATCCTAGCCATGGTTTGTTCGCTCCTGTAAAATAGCATCACGCTATAAACAGGAGTACTACCGGGCCCAGGCTGACGCATCAACGTCTCGAGATGAAAACACCAACGCTCTTAAAAAGAAGTATAATTCCGCCTCCAGGTCCTTCAAAAGATTCATTGCAAGGTCTGAGCACATCGGCAGAATTGGCGAGAAGCTAGTTCGCTTTCCTTCGGGAACCCGTGCATTCTGGTCTCTCGCCAAGGCTATCCACTTACTTCTGTCAGTTATCTCTTCCATCTCCGCCCAGAGAGGACGACTCACTGGCTCATGCCGCAAAGGAGAAAGCCGATCTGTTAGGCTCTCTCTTTGCATCCAACTCAACTCGCGATGACGGGAGAACACACCGCCGGTGTGGTGATCCATGCCGGTGCGGTGTACAGCGATCGGTCGAAAGCACTCTTCTCTGGACGTCAGTAAGTCGAGTGGACCTGGTGGATCCGGTGTGTGGCTCTGGTTTTAACGCGTCTTTTCAGGTACCCCTACTCCCAAGGCGTAGTCCCGAAATATTGGAAGATAGCTTTGGTTCACCCGATCCCTAACAAAGGCGACCGCTCAGCCCCGTCCATCTGCAGGCCTATCGCCATCATCTTCTTGTTCTCCAAAATAATGGAGTCTATTGTAAACTGTCAGCTCATGAGGATCACCAACTGATCAGTGACGGCCAATACGGTTTCTGTCGTGGTCGATCAGCTACTGATCTTCTGGTCTACCTTACTCATAGATGGGCGGAGGCAGTAGGGTACAAGAGGGAGACATTGACGGTTAGTTTGGATTTGGTCATGGCGAAGGCCTTCAATCTTGTCTGACACAAAGCACTTCTTTCGAAGCTTTCTTCCTATGGGCTTTCCGGAAATTGTGCGATTGGATCACTAGTTTTCTTGCTAATCGGAGCAACAAGGTTGTAGTAGACGGTGCATGGTCTGATTACAAGCCTATTAATGTGTTCCACAGGGCTGCGTACTATCACCAATGCTGTTTCTTCTGCGTATCAATGATATGTTGCAGACTGGTAACATTCATTGCTATGCGGACGACAGCACTGGTAATGCCTTATACACCGACCGTGCCGGTATTTCTCGGGAAATCGTCGCCGAGTACCGGGACAAACTTGCGTTTGAAGTAGAGTCTTCATTGCTTAACAAAGTCTCAGATTGGGGGCGACTGAATATAGTTCAATTCAATCCCCAGAAGACACAAGTTTACGTGTTAACCGCTAAAAAGAACCCCTTTGTCGTATCTCCTCAGTTTGAAGCCACTCCCTTGCTACCTCAGCTAGCATCAGAATCCTCGGCGTCGACATATCAAATAGTGTGCAGTTTCGTGGTCACTTGGAGGGGAGGGCCAAATTGGCCTCTGAAAAGCTTGGCGTGCTCAAAAGAGCGAGATAGTATTCCATTCCGGCACATCGCTTGCAACTTTACAAAGCACAAGTTCGGCCTTACATGGAATACTGTTTTCATCTCTGGGCCGGGGCACCCCAGTGTCAGCTTCTTCTACTCGACCGCATCCAGCGCAGAGTGATTCGAATCGTCGACGACCGAGTTCTTTCTGATCGGCTCGATTCACTGGCGCTGCGTAGGGATGTTGCATGTTTGCGTTTTCTGTCGTATCTACTATGGGGAGTGTTCTGAGGAATTTTCGATTCTCTCATTATATAAAACAAAATATTTTGTCTCTTTTGATTGGAATTTGATATAACAATAATTAAAAAAGGAAATCGAGGATAACTGAACTACAGTCCGCAGTGTCTATACTACAATATAGTGGTCGTCTAATGGTCGACATTCGACCGTAATTTTAAAAGAATAGGTTTGTATATTAAGCTAGCTGTATTTCGCTTATATATATAACACAGCTATTTAATATACAAAATATAAAATAAACGCATTATTGCCTTTACATACAATCCAACACTATCGAAAAAGGAACATAAAATTCACCGCTAATTCAGTTAATCTATCAGTAATTATTTATTGGCCACATCTCATCTAGAGCAATAACATACAGTGAACATACATTTCTTGTAAGAAAGCGGGGTACAGTGAATAACTTTTTTAAGGACGAAAGAAAGCAAGAAGACACTATACAAAATAAAGCCACGCTACAGCTATATAATGGTTGTACCACAAATGGGTCGGCTCAACCGGGGAAGGACCGCGCTCTCACAGAATACCAACGTTAAATAGCAGCTTAATACTGCTGTTTTTGTATGATGAGTGCCAGAGACCCCATTCAACTGGAAACGAGGCGTTCTTAGTCCTGAGGGGTAATAACGCATCTGCGTTTTGATTCTTAAACGACGATGAATGCAGATGTCGATGGGTCACAGCATCCACTTGCCATCAGGTGGACTGTGTGCTTGTTTGTTACGCTTATTCTAAAAAAAGCAGTATATAGACGAATTTTTACGTAATAACTCCTTATATTTACACAAACACTACACATTGAATAAAACTATTTATACGGATTTCATGGCGTATAAGTAACTTATTTTTAATTTACCACGTTTCGCACCCATGATCACAGGGGGGGGGACTGAAATGTTTAACGTCCCAATGTCATTGTTAACCCGGTTACCTTAAGTTTTTGAATAGTAATTTTTGGTCCGGTCTACGCAGAACGAGCGTACAGTATCTTGAAGTCTTGCAGTGTAGTAGTTAGTATTTTTACCTCACTAACTATCTAACTATGCAATGTAATATCATCACTTGATTTAGAAAACAATTTACTTTATTTTTTGTTTTTAGGCATCGTCGTCGATCATATCCGTACGTACGTGCGTACGAGCGTGCGAGCGTGCGTGCGAGCGTGCCTGCGTGCGTACGTGCGTGCGTGTGTGTGTGTGTGTCGCCTTTCCAGAAATCATTCGTGCGAAACTAGATCACTAGTCTTAATATATATAAATTACGGGTCTCGTTGTTTGTCCGCGATGGACTTCTAAACTAGTTAACCGATTTTAATCAAATTTGCACACCGTGTGCAGTTTAGTTCCACTTGAGAGATACGAGTAGGATAGTTTTTTTGCCCATGAGTTACCCAAATTTTTTTTGCGAATGTAAGGATTTTTCCGTCATTCATAGGACATGACAAAAGATCGTCGAAAAGGGCAGAACAACGTCTGCCTGGCAAGCTAGTATTATATATAAATTTTTGCTTTCTGCACTCCTCTATATTAACTTTGACTAGGAATGTCAAATCTCACACTCCTCCGTGCGCGCAATATGTTTGGGTAACTACAAAGTTTTTCCGTATTAGTTTATAGATAAAATAGTATGCTCGTTCATCGTGTTGTAACGCTTCGTGAAGCGCCTGCGCCTTGTTTCATAGAAACGAGTTAAGGTCAAGTGGGCGCCTAAAGCAGATTTTTCACGCTTTATAGGCGCGCAGAAAATCAATTTATTGTCATTAAAAACTACGAATACATATTTTTTAAATTCATTGTGACAGTTAAAGATTTTTGTTAGTAAACTATGGTGGGCAAAACACGATTGACACATTTTGGCTCGATAGTAAAAGATCGCAAAGTTTCCTCAAAATTGACATTTTTAGGCACGTCCACTAAGTGAAAAAACAGTTTCATTTGAATGTAATAAAATCAATTTCAATTAAATTCAGGCTATGTGTTCACCATTAAATACGTGAGTGAATAATGATATGAGGGAACTTGTATGTAACAGATATACTTTGACAAAGTGACGGCTCCGTGGCGCACTGGCTTGGCAATGAGTGGCTGCGCTGGAGGCCGCGGGTTTGAATCCCGCACGGAACAAGTATTTGTATGGCCTACAAATAATTGTTTCGGGTCTGGATATAAGTCCTTGTGCAATTTATGTCCTTGTAAAATCCTAGTGGGGGATAAGGTTATAAAAATCACTGGTAAAAAAAAATACTTGAGTATGCTTAGGCTGCCTAGTTTATTTATATTATCGTCCAAGACGCTTGGAATAAAAATTTATAAAAATAAGTATTTGTTAGTTCTTAGTAGTTTACAAGAAGCGAATTGGACGTCAGTGTCCAAATAAAATAATGATGAAGTACTTTTTAACGTGAAAATAATTTAGGTACATAACTCGGTAGGTATATAGTTAATTTTTATGTTGAAAAGTATGTATACGTCACGTATCATGTTGTACCTGTCTATAATACAATATAGCTATCGCCACACCAGAAGGCTCTTTTGGTGCACCCAATTATTATCTGAAATTATTTTATAAATAAGCGCTGGTTATATCAACCAATTACAATATATTTGTTTACTACGTAGATGTATTCAACTATTAGTGGGTTATGAAATAATTCTACACTTATGAAAGTGCGATCTGCAGCTTGTCGCTAGGCTTGGGTAAAAAATATGTTATATATTTTTTATATACGTTTGCGCACCGATCGCCTGCCTGTGTCTGCTTCACCTAAAAGACCGATTTACACTTCGACAAGTACTGTAGCGAGTTTAGTTACAGGGCAGTTGACAGTAAACGATTAAGTGAGCAGTAGCGTTCAAACAACGTCTTCGTGGCGAGTTTAGTTAAGGACATTAGTTCATAGAGTTTGTAAGAGTATGACGTTTCAAGACTACAGAATTTTTCTGGTTTTCGTTTAAGATGGTTCTAGTATTACGTCAAGAATTAAATGATCCAGTCAGAGAAGTATTAATGGTTGTAACAACTCGATAGTCGAACCCAGAACCACATGATCAGTAGTTGCGTTTATTTCCACTACACCAACGAGGCAGTCACTCGCCTCATATGTAACCCTCTCAGAAATGAGAGCAATGAAATGTAAATAAGGCTGTAACTTTATAAAAAGAACGAAAGGTGTTAAGTTTGTACATTTATTATATTTTACAGACACATAATATATTGTGCATGCATTTTGAAATGCTTTGCAAGCCAAAATCATAGTTTTTAAAGTATGAAAATTATTTATTCCTCCTTCTAACTATACAAACCTAAAAACCTCTTACTTGTTATGTCAGTGATATATTTTATAGCCTATAATAGAAAATTGAAGGCGTAAGATGATTATGGTTCAAAGAAAAAAAACAGCATCACCTGTGGTTTTGTACAATGAAAATTCCATGAACACAGCGCACGAGATTGCTACATTTAGGTCATTTACCCTAATTATCTTTTTCTTGATCGCTGTTCTTTCAATCTACAGTATAGCAATATAACTATCTATATCAATAACTTATATATTTTCTAGAATTCCGTTCTTGTTAATATAAGTAAATGACTTTATGATGAATGGCGTCATCATCGCTCGTTAATAATACATTTTTATTAGCAATTTGTATGCATATACTCAGCTGCTTCCCACAATTATTTTTATGACAACTTACATTGATTTAGTTTTGATGATGTTTATACACAGTAAACAATTTAAACTATATGTAAAACAAAAAAATATATAATTTATTCCTACAATGTACCGAGAGCAAGATATTCGATTCATCTCGCGTACTGAAGTAATGTTTTATTTACAAAAACAGAAACAAAAACTTTTTTAATCAATAAAGATTATATATAATACTTATTGAAACTCACTTTGTCTTTAATTTACCTTTGGTTCGGAAAACAACCTCTGTCCTGGGAAGAACCAGCAAGAATCTCAGCGGGACTTTAAAAAAATAACAGCTTTACAATCATGTATGTTACACAAATTACACATTTTAACAACACAACACAAATTAAAATGTCTTGGTAGCGATCACTTTTCCCAGGGGTTATTATTTCCAAAAATTCCTTTATATAATATTAACCCTTTTAATACAAACTTTGCTTAATAAAGTTTTTGAACTTTGTGCAAGTCAAATTTTGTATATCCCAAGAATAAATTACAGACTCGGTGGAGTCGAGTAACTCGTACTACTAGGTTGTGTCTGTTCCAAACTGATAAAAAAGTAAAACCGATTTCAAAACCGAGCATCTCCATTTTGAATCTTGATCATCATCATCATCATTACAGCCCTTCACAAGTCCACTGCTGAACATAGGCCTCCCCCAAGTAATGCCACAAAGCACGGTCCTGAGCCACCTGCATCCATTGACTTCCTGCATGTCTTACCAGGTCGTCACTCCATCTAGTGGGGGGTCGTCCTACACTACGCCTACCGGTACGAGGCTGCCACTCGAGTACCTTTCTTCCCCATCGGTTATCGGTTCTTCGAGCTATATGGCCGGCCCATTGCCACTTCAGCTTACTAATCCTAAAATATCCCCTCATGAATTTTGAATCTTAATCTAAAATTAATTCAGGTGTTCATAGGCCAGAGCATCCATTACCCATCAGATGTGTGTAAAATTTTCCTCACTGTAAGTCGGAAAGGCTTATGTTGGGCAACTGACTTCTTACGGACTAATAAAAATGTGCCACCATGTGCTCATAATGTGGATCTCTATCTTCACACTATATAATTTGGTATCGACATATAAGAATAAATCATCAGTCGATTGCCTCAAGCACCTGAAGTTAATAAGGATCATAAATATGCGAACAACCCACCTTTTTTAAAAAGAATA